TGGGCGTGCCAATTTGTTCACAGTGATTTCTGGTGAACAACCGCTAGTCTTCCAAACTATCGAATAACCTAATGACTGTTATTCAATTTCTCTGGTAACTTGCAGGATCGACTAGATTGATCCTATGGAACATAGTTGTTTGGTTAAGTCTACTTGTAAAACCGGTATTCATATTCAGGACTTCAAATTAGAATTGTTTCTAAGATATCCAATCCACTTCGATTGCTATACTGCATGGTTCGAAGGATAACTTCTATATGGTATTAGGAATGTTCATGAAAAAGTTTAAAGACCTAAAATTGGGTAGATGGCAGGATTAAATGAGTGGTTGCAAAAGTTACTAAATGTTTAGAGGGTTCGACCATAAGAAAAGTATTTAAATGCAGAAAGGAATAAATGACTTTGAATGTAAAGGCTTTAATGTAAAGGCAGAAAACGTAAAATGTTCGAAGCACAAATAAAACGAAAATAAGAGACAAAACTGGAAAATGTAAAGAGTTTTCATTGAATTGTAAATGCTGGTGTTATCATACGTATATCTTTCGAGCATTTGTTTCCCTATCCATGTGGTATTTTGAACGTTTATTGGATTTGTACAACAGATATCACACCCCAAATCCTAATACTAAGACCTCTATTTATACTACTTCGACCATAACGGTCTTGTTATCAGAATCTGCCACGTTCGAAGCATGCAGAGCAATACTTCCCTCTAGCCTCCACGCGTCCTCGAACGTTCCAATGCTTGTATATTTTAAATTTCCAATATCCCGCTCATGTTTAAATTTCAAACGCCTTGGTACCTTCATTTTGAATTCGTGTTCGAAAATAACCCTTACAGATATAGTCTCCTCATTATTTCGAACAATGCTTTAGACTTACACTCCACAACTACCATTCAAAACCTTTGAACTTTAATATCTCTATTCGAAACCAACATTTTCTTCCATTCTAAATCATCAAACTTGCTATATTCAAACAAAGCCCAATCATTTTATTTCGAACCATAATATCAAAATCTTCAGCCAACACCTCCTTGTCGCCTTCAGGATTGTTATTGGTCATTCTCTCAATGAGAAGTGCTTTCACCTCTTCTTGCCCCTTGGATAGATTCAGGAGCAACTCTTGAAGTTGATCATTTTGGGTCTGAAGATCTTGAACAGTCTGCTCGAGGGCCATTTTTACTTGAATTAAACAGTAAGCGAATGAGGAAACCTGTATGGGGAAAACCTGTCATGATATGATGCATGGTATGTGGATGAAATGTTTTCAAGGATCTCGCGGGGTAAACACAAGAAAATGTCAGAAGTTGAACTTTGATTACAACTTTGATTGGAGAACTTCGTATCGTTGAATGTCCTTCCACGAGAATCAACCTCACCGTGTTAAGTGGGTCATAGCCCTTGATTAAAGTTATTGTGCTTTGGTCTTTGACAACATTTGGCTAGAGGAAAATAAATCCTCTTGCCCCTTGATAGACGTCTGGTTCAATATAACCCTGCATCAAAAACCCTTGATACCCTTTAAATTATTATTGAAAATGCTATGGTATGATGTCATGATGTTATGTGCAAATAAACATATACAAGCAAAGCAAACAAATCCTTAGGTTTAGACTTGCATGGAGTTCATAGGTAAGTACCCTCTTGAAGTTTAGTTGGTTCAAACGGTCTTACCAAGTAATCGGGTTCTAGGGAATCTCAATATCATTGATCTTTCTTCATTGGGCATTATTTCAGCATAATCAATCTTTTCTTGCGGACGAAATATCCCAAAAGTCCGATCTCAATGAGCGTAGTATCGAGTATCAACCAACTTCGGACTGCACCAAAGTCGGCTATCTCACTACTTCCTAATGGCCAAGTTGTTCAATTAAAGGTTCTACGGTCAATTAGTGCTTCATGACACCGCTCAACGGCCCCATATTCTCCTCGATTCAACACAAGGGATACTAGTACCAACAAATGCGTCACACTAACATAGTCATTGCTTCAACCATATCGGTCTATGTTGTACAGTTTCCACAATATATTGCTACTTACCTAATAATGTTCCTCGATCCGGGTAGAGGATCAAAACACCAAACAAGGACCCAAAAATGTAAAGCAAACAAGTCAAACAAATGAAAGTATTTTAAAAAGTGATCTAGTCTCTAAGGTAACCCAACTTTTAAGCATTCCCCAGCAGAGTTGCCGGTTCTATAATACGGTGGGAGAATTGACTTGGGTGTTTTTCATTTTATTACAATTGTTGCGGATAGCAAGAGTCGCCATCGACTTTTCTTTTATCCAATAAAGGAAAGGGTTAAAAGAACAGGAAAGACCTTTTGAGATATTTTCTTGAGTTCGGGGGGTAGGTTATAAAAGGGGAAGGTGTTAGCACCCTTTTCATCCGTAGTTATCTACGGGCTCTTAGTTACTAGCTCACTTTGAAATGCTTTGTTTGAAATGTGTTTATGTTTGTTTTGAAAGTATTTTTGAAAAGTGCCTTTTTTTAGGCGAACTTTGTAATGATTCTCGTCTCTATAAGAATGCATACAAAGTATTGAATTTTGAAAATATTTCATGGAAAAATGTTGGTGTATTTTTGAAAGATGTTTTGAAGATTGATTGTGAGAAAGCAACTATGAACGGTCTACCTACTCAAAAAGTCTTAGTTCTTCTCCTCCTCCTTTAGATATTGCTATCTTACCATTGATTGATAAGAAGCCCTATTATTGGATGCGAAGGGACAGGCGTGTGTCAATCGTATAGTCATAGAAAGCAACTTGTAAGACGCTTTAGAAATTTTTGTAAGAGGCTAAGATCATTTTACCGAAGGCAACATCGAAGGATCGTCGAGGGACTACGGTCTTTTCATTCGAGGGTCTTTGCTAAAGCATCCCACATTCGAGGGACATGACTATTTTTATCCGAGGCAACAAGTGTGGGTTACCCTAGAGGTGTGCGTGTGCGAGTGCATTAATTTCATGCTTTTTTATCTTGAATTAGGGTTGTCTACTTGTTGATTTTAAATCTTTCCATACACACCCTAATTACTAGCAACAATATTGAAAGCGGTAAATTGCGGAAATGTAAATTCTACGCTATTACATCTTTTTTGGGGGATGGGGATACAAGTTTATGAATGGGGGGTGAAAGTAAATAAATCCTAATTATACTATTACAACCATATTGAATATTGAATGACAATAAAAATATAAATAAATGTAAAAAAGGAAAAAATTGGTTTAAGAAAACTTTTATGTATTGACACATGAGCTTATGCGTTGATACGAAAATTTCATGTATTGACGCATGCATTGGCTCATATCATCTCTTTGCCACTGGAAATCAAAATCAACTCAGTATGAGTCGACACATAAGGGTTTTGTATCGACTCATACTATTTTGTATCGACACATGCACTTTTCGTATCGACTCATGCTCATTTCTAGCTCTTGGAAGTCAAAACAGCTCCGTATGAGTCGATATATAAGGGTTTTGTATCAACTCATATTGCTTTGTATCGACACATACGCATTTTGTGTAGACTCATAACCTGTTTTGTACTAGTGTTTCGTATCAACTCATACTGCTATTTTTTTCTTGTTCTATCATTGTTCTGCTGCATATATAGTTAGATCTCAACACATGATTAGTGAAAATGAAGAATAAGTGTTGTACCCCAAAATTTTCTCTCTCATTATTATTCAAGATACCATCCTAGGCCTTCTCGAATACTCAATTTGGCTCAGAAGTTTGATCAGACAGATTCTCTTCCTAGGCAGTAAGTCAACGATTAAGGTTTGGCGTTTCTCAAAGAAATTTGATTCTTCAAAGTTTCAAATGGTCTTCATGGATTTTCATGTCTCCTTAAGGATGTTCGTGTCTAGTTTCAAACCTCTCATTGCAAGTTTGCTCATTTAATGGTTCAGACGACTGAAAATGACTCCGTTAACCCAAAAGCTGACCTTTTGTGAGACCAAGTTCAAGCGAATGTAACTTCTTCATTAATCGATATTTCTTAACAGTTCTTTTTACGTATGACTCTCCTTGTCGTCATCTCTAACTTCTCTTTACAAGTCAAGAGCCGATTATGTGCGAAAGATCATCAAAAATTCGAATACTTTAGAGGCCGCTTTCTGGATTTTTGATCTAACCTCAAATAATTGTTGCCTAACTTCCAAGAATCATAATTTCCTCAATTTTCAAGATTTTGAGACGATTATTTTTCACATGGTCATAAGAGATGTCGTCAACAAGTTCGCTTCAAGAATCGAAGGAAATTGTGTTTAGAAGACCTTGAAATTTATTGAATCGTCATAGGTCATTTACTTGATTTTTTTGAATGCTCTTTTGATTCATGCCATAATTGTTTTCTCGGGACTACGGTGTTGAAATCGCTCTTGGAACAAGATGTCGAGTTCGGAGATTCGTGTTGAGTTTGGACAAGATGTTGCCTAAAATACAAGTCTCTGTGTTGAAAATTAATCCAGGATCTGGGTGAAAGTAATTTGAACAATGGTTTTGGATTTCAATTCAAGTTAGCAAGGCACTACAAGTTTCGTCCAATTTTTCTACGATTCATTCGCGAGATTTATTTTGGATTCAAGATGTAAAAAAGAACTAACTCGACATGCTACTTGGGAATTAAGATGTCCATCAATTTTTCAAGTCTTTTATCCAAAGGTCACTCTCAAGATTCAAAATCAAGAGATCATGTTCATAATAGTCAAAGTGAAATCAAATTCTATAATTCACTTCATGATTCAAAGTTCAAAACTCCAAATTCATGTCTATTGATTTCGAATTGACAAAAGTTCGACATCATTCAAAGGTTCTCATTCAATTTGCAAGACGCATCAAAAATATACAATTTCAAAAGCTCCAAGTAACTATTGTTTCATTTACAAATTGCGCAAGTCAATGCCCAAATTATATTCGATAAAGTTTCAAGCTATAATCACAAAAGAAATTCTTCAAGTTTCTATGCCTAAAAGACTTCATCTTCAAGGTCTCTCAAATTCTCCATGCCTTCATTATCAAAGCTTCATCTTCCAATCTGCATGTTTTCTTCATCAACTAGTGAAAAAGAAAAGAAGTGTGTGATTAGCAAAATTTTCAGCAATGCAAAAAAGTTTAAAGGCCCATAAAGATCACATTACAACCCTATAAACCAGTACAAGAAAACAACAAAGCAGCCCATTTTTCCAGCCTTGTTTCAATGCATAACAAGCCAATTTTTGTAGTATCTTCTGTCCAAAACAGCATCCTAAAAACAGCAGCTCATAACACTCCAAAAAAACCTGCTACAAAACAGCAAAATCATTCCAAAATTTATCCAAATGTTGCACTAAATTAACAACACAAAAAACTGCAACAAAAAGCAATAAAACAGTATACTGAAATTGTTTAAATTTGTCATTCCCCCCCCCCCCCCCCCCCCCCCATAACAGCCCTCAATCTGGTCTATATAAGAAGAAGTGTTGTTAAACAAAAAGGTGGAGAATAATACAGCATAGAAAATATACAAAAAAACAAAGAGAGGATAACATATAATACACATAAAATATCAACACCATCACCCACACAAAATAGCATCCGGAAAAATAAAAGAAAGAAACTGTCGGTTTCGTGCAACCTCTCACCACCGCAAAACTCAAATTCTGACGACTCTATCTCCCTGCTGCAGATCCGGTCGTAAACCTACCCTTTCATGTCAGCCATGCTTTCTTCCATAGATGAAATTGTGATTGTTATTTCTTTCCACTTCCTTTGTGTTTTCTAACTATGCTCTTTTATCTCTTAGTAAGTTTATTCTCTTTTGACTTTTGATAAGTGATTCATAAATTATTATAATATTTTATATCATCTACTAATGAAGATTTGATGAGAAGTAATGTACCTTTTGTCACGCTTATGCCCTGCTTACTGTCACACACAGTTTTCTTTTCCACTGTTTGATGGACATGAGCCTAAATGACATCTATGACTTAGAATTATGTCATTTTGTTTCAATCTTTTTCTAACATATAGTTAGCATTATTTTAGTGTAATCTCATTTCATATATATGCTTTCAAAATCACGTTACTTTTTTTATTAAAACAAATTAATCATTTTTTTTTATAAAAAAAGAAAAGGGGTCTTGATTTAAATAGTGTCAATATTGAAACATGTATACAATTTGATCTCTATTTCAATTTACTTACACTAACCCCTATTTCAATTTTGCACCATTGTTTTTATTTTTTTGTTGTTTATCTAATTTATTTATCTTGGTTTATTTACTTAGTTTAGTTCTTATATTTGTTAATTAATTTAGTTTTATTGATTTATTTAGTTAATTAGTAAAAACAACAAAATATACAAAAATACTAAAATATTAATCTTATTTTGTTTAGTGTAAATTTAGTAATTTAGTTATTAGGTTAGATGTTTTTCCTTATAAAAATATAAAATAAAATAAAAACCAAAACATGTTTATTTTGTTTCATTAGGTTTTTTTTTTTAATTCGAAAAATACAAAAAAAAACAAGTATTTTTTTCATGCATAGATTAATTAATTTGTACATAAGTATGACTAACTAGAAATCACCAAAAAAATAATCTTTTTTACTACTTCACATTCTTGCGTATTTTATTATTTAGCATTATCATTTATGCAAACGGTCTGTAATAGATAATTAAGCCTTTATTTCTTTTCCCTCCCCATTTATAAACTTGTACCCCCATTCCCGAAAACTCTGTAATAGCGTAGAATTTCGATTTCCGCAATTTACTGTTTTCTATATACTGTATAGTAAATAGGCGTGCATGGCAAGATTCAAAATCAATCGCTAGATAACCTAATCAAAGAGTAACTTAACTTGAATCAAACACACTTTTTCACACGCGCACCTCTAGGGTAACCTCGCTCGTTGCCTCGGAAACACAGTCATGTCCCTCGAATATGGGACGCTTTAGCAAAGAACCTTCGATAAAAAAGATTGCGGTCCCTCGATGTTGCCTCCGGTAAAACGATCTAGTCCCTTATAAAAATTGCTAAAGCGTCTCACAAGTTACCTTCTATGACTGTACAAATGTCCCGCGCTTGTCCCTTCACATCCAACGATGGGGCTTCTTACTAAATCAATGGTAAGATAGCAACATTTAAAGGAGGAAAAGAACATTTAAGACCTTTCGAGTAGGTAGATTCGCTCTTAATTGCTCGCTTGCTCACAACCAAACATTTTACACCAACGCTTTCATATTAAAACTTTTTTTCAAAAGACGAAAACCTTTTGTATACGTTCTTATAGAGACGAGAACCATTGCAAAAAACATCTTTTCAAAATACTTTCAAAAAACACACCATAAGCACATTCAAACAAAAGCAAGTGATCTAGCGGGTAACTAAGAGACCATGGAAAACCATGGATGAAAAGGGTGCTAACACCTTCCCTTTTCATAATCTACCCCCTGAATTCAAGAAACAATCTCGAAAGGTATTTCCTGTGCTTTTTTACCTTTCCTTTTGGATAAAAGAAAAGTCGGTGGCGACTCTTGCTAACCGCACAATTATGATCGAACGCAAACGACCCAAGTCAGTTCTCCTACCGTATCACAGAACTGACGACTCTGTTGGGGAATTTTAAAAGTGGGGTTACCTTAGGGTTTAGATCACATTTACTTGCTTTCATTGTTTGACTTGTATGCTTTATGGTTCTTTGTTTGGGTTTGAATCCTCTACCCAGATTTGAGATACCTTATAGGTAAGTAGCAATACGTTATGGAAACTGTGCGGGTATACCGACACGGTCTAAGAAATAGCTACGTTAGAACCCGGTTACTATTACTAGGATAGGTTTGAGCCAACTAAAACTTCAAGAGGGTACTTACCTATGAGACTCCATGCAAGACTAAACCTAAGGACTTGTTTGCTTTGTTTGTGTATATTTTACTTGTACATAACATCATGAACATCATAACATCATACTCATTCACTAACCATTTCAAGGAGTTTTGGGATTTATCTTTGTTTCTGTTTTGTAGGACATGGATTCTCTTTGCAGGAAAACTATTCAAGTCAACCTTGTAAGGATTTCCCCTCAACTTAAATAGCTAGCTTCAAGGATTCCTGAAAACTCTCCATTCACCGAGAGACATGGTCGCATACTAAACTTGGTCACCTCCAAAACTGATAAAGATGTGTTAAAGGTGCTCTTCCAGTTCTTTGATCCTTTACACCATTGCTTCACTTTCCCCGATTATCAACTTGTGCCAACTTTGGAAGAATTCTCCCAACTCTTGAGGATTCCCATTCTCAATCAACTACCTTTCAATGGTATGGAAAGAGACCCAAATCCAGAAGAGATTGCTCAAGCTCTACACTTGCAACCATCTTATGTCACAACTCATTGGGAAACAAGGAGTGGTGTCAAAGGTTTCTTAGCAAAGTTCTTGTTCGAGAAAGCCTAAAACTATTGGAACTCTTTGGATTTGCAAGCCTTTGAGGAAATTATGTCTCTCCTCATCTATGGGATGGTTTTGTTTCCAAATCCTGACCAACTCATAGATATGAACACCGTCAAAATCTTCATATCTCGCAACTCGATGCCTACTTTTCTAGGGGATATCCTACATTCTTTTCACACTCGCACTATGAGGAAAGAGGTATCCTTTTGTGTTGCACTCCTCTCTTGGCAAGGTGGTTTATTTCTCATCTTCCCCAATCTGTATTAAGGAACGAGCAAGGTTCAAGGTGGTCACAAAGGTTGATGATGCTCAAGCACTCAGACATCCATTGGTGTTCTAGGTCTATAGATAATGTTATCATCGTCGACCATTGTGGAGAGTTCCATAATGTCCCCTTACTTGTCATTAGGGGAGGTATAACCTATAACCCCTGTTTGGCTCTAAGACAGTTTGGTTATGCCTGAAGGGATGGCCCATATGAGATACTCATTCAAGGTTTGGTATTTGACTACGAGAACGACGATCAAGGTCTTCGCCAGAGATTTATCCGAGCATGAAGGATGCTGAACAAGGTAGATAGTAAGACTTTGGGGCACAAGAATTCCATCCCTCTTGAGCCTTACCTCAAATGGGTACGAGCTCGTGCTCAGAGTCTTATGATGCCTTATCCCTCTGTTCTCCCGGTAATCATCGAGCTTGTCATGGAGGAAGATGTTCCATACACTATCCTGCATCCTGACATGCCCGCCTCTCTTGAAGACTTACAAAGAGATTGGATACAGCTCAAGGGAGAGTGAGACACTTTTGAGGCCCAATTCTACGCTAGTGAGAAGAAGGTTTTTGAACTCACTAAGAAACTTCATGAGGAGTGGACCCTGAATGCCTATATCGCACCAAAGAGGATGCGCACAACCTTTTTATCTTAGAGTTTTTTGTTGTATTTCTGTGTAAGCCCAAAGAGGCATTAATGTACTCAAGCTTTAATATTTTAATATAACGTGTGTTTCCTTTTTGTCTAAAACAAATTTAAATCTCTAAGTTCCTTGAAATCATTGCATATGCATTTATCATTCATCATAACATAAGCAGATTTCTTGCGACAAGTCTCCTCATCTTTCTACTATTTATTTCAGTAAGATGGATCTCGAGCAAACGGTGAAGGACCTCCAGGCACAAAACGCTCAGTTTCAACAGATGTTCTTAACTTTAGCCAAAGGACAAGAAGAGTTGAAAACCTTGCTGGTTAAAAGGTGTTGTACCCCAAAATTTTCCCTCCCATATTTCTTAACACATGGCAAGTGAGATCCCCAAATTGCTCAAGCCTTGCAGAAGAAGTTTGCTCAGTCAATTGCTCACATGCCTGAAAATCGATTGTGCTAGGTCAAAAGTCAATTGTGGCCCACATACAGTCAAACTTCAAGATTTTTGGTCAACATCCTCATTTTGAAGTATTATTCATCATCTGATCAAGGTTTGATCATGATTCCCCAAGGATTACTCACAATTCATCAAAACCCAAAAGTTGCTAAATTAGGGTTTTGTAGGAAAAGTCAACCCAACTTTGACCAAGCATAACTTTCTCATACTTTATCAGAAATGACCCATCCAAAGCTCATTTTGAAGAGGATGCAATTCCCTAAAATTCATCTTCAGCTCCCAAGTTCAGAATATGCACTCACAAAAATATATGAATTTTGACATTATAGGTCATTTTGGAAAGTCAACAAAAACACCTTTTGGGTCAAAGCTTCATACATGAACATGGAAGACTCAATTGAGATGAGACCAAAAGGGTTGCTTAGAGTACATACTAATCTTTCTAAAAAGTCCAAACACCTCTCTAGGGGCAAAATTAAGAGAGTTATGCATTGTTCAAGTTGACCATTTTTGCAAAATTGCCAAAAGTCAAATGAGCTCAAATTTGCATTTTTTGCTAAATGGGCCTAACTCTTTATGCTTGCACCTCAATTATAATGTGGTCCACGACTCAAATACTTATCCACAAATTATTTGCTTCATTTTTCAATTTATCTTGATTTTTCATTGATTAAAAAGTGAATTAAATCAAATAGATGATGAAAATTATCAAAGATATGATTTGATTTGTTTTTTTGACAGGTTAGCAACCAAGATATGCTGAGCTTGCAAGATCAATTCGAATCAATGGCAATTGGTACAAAAAGAGCATGATTAGGCCAAATTTAAAAAGATATCATATGGCTAAAGAATCAAATCAAATATCATCAAAGCTTAAAGATTGGATCTGTTTTGCAACCCTAATTCATTGAGGGATATATAATGAACAAAAACAAAGCAAAAAGAGAGGGTTAAAGGTCGTGCATAGCCAAGAACAAAACTGAAAAATTCAAGAAAAAGTGGGAATCAGTTTTCAATCTACAAGGAGTTTCAAAGCATTTCAAGAACACCAATCCCTTCCCATACATCCCAGGAAGCTATTCCAATCACTCTCAGGTCTTGAAACGCCCAGAATCATGCTCTACGCCTCCCACGGTTTGCCTAAAAACTTGATT